AAGAATCTACGACCCAATGGCGTACCCCCCAAAGGCCTTTCTTTCGAAATTGCCAAGATGGGTTTCTCACCACACCCCCTCTGGGTAGACCTCCTTGCTGTTCGCCCTGCTTACCACCAGTACCTCCACGTTCTTAGGGCGTTAACGTGGTGGATGAATCTGCCTGCCGCGCGGGGCCAAATTCATTGGAATCAGAGGGGGCCTAAGAATGCCACAGGTACTGGTGGTTTAAGCCTTTGGAATTTGAGGCGTCTTAGGCTTTGGCGCTTCCCCTCCTCAGTCCAGCGTTGTAGAATTTGAGCCCTCTCTTTAGGCTTTGAGCCCTCTCTTAGGCTTTCCCCTAGTCAGTAGCGATCCTGCCGCTCTTCTGAAACTCTGCCTCACTGCTTCTAATCTCTGAAGCTCTCCCACTGCTTCTAATTGCGTCATTATCAGCCATTCCCTAGGTGCTTCGCATCTGGCCATTACCTGAAATCTCTAAGAATTGGCACCCTCAAATCTCTAAAGCTCTTCTAAAGCTCGGCCTCACTGCTTCTAATCTCTGAAGAAGCTCCCCCACTGCTTCTAATTGCGTCATTATCAGCCATCCCCTAGGTGCTTCACATCTGGCCATTACCTCTACGAATTGGAGACGTGCCATCTGACGCTGTCCCGCTGCTTCTAATCGCATCTCTTCCAGCAATCCCCTAGGTGCGTCGCATCTGACCAGTACCTCCAATCTCTAAAGTTGGAGATGTCAACTAGGTATTAATTTGCAGCCATCTGCAGCCGGGCAGTGATCCCACCGCCTCCTGTACCCCACCTCTCACCGCCTCGAGAGATTTCACTCCCTGTTTAGCAAACCAAATGTACCCTACTAAAAGAAATACCAACAGTTACAAGAGAAAGACTAACCGCTATAGACCATCTATCTAGGCTACCAGCCGGGCCGCCCGGGTCCCGGGTGGCCAGCTCGTGCAAGGACCACGGAACGTCCCGGCAAAAAAAAAAAAAAAAATCCCCCAAAATCCGGAAAAAACTATGTTATGCAGAAAAATAAACTGAACAACTTTTGCCTCAGGGTCACATCGAAATTCTTCACTAAATTTAGAAAAAAAAATCAAATTTAAATATTGTCACAGGCCCTCGTTTGTTGTCCTCTTCTCTCTCTCTGCCTACGGTTTACCGGGCAGTTCTATTTGTGACGATATATATATATATATATATTTGACGATATATATATGACGATATATATATGACGATATATATGAACCGACAGTCTGTAGAGTTTTCCATCTGGTGTGGGTGAGTGATAGTCTACTTTGATTTTGGTTAAGGTAGATTATCATTTACAGTGTAATCAGTGAAGGGATTCTGCAGACTGTTGAGGGTCAGCCTCCTGATGAGTCGGTGAAACTCCGACGAAACAGTTTGTCACAGCCCCTCGTTTGTTGTCCTCTTCTCTCTCTCTGCCTACGGTTTACCGGGCAGTTCTATTTGTGACTATATATATATGTATATATATATATGTTCAGCCTCCTGATGAGTCGGTGAAACTCCGACGAAACATTTTGTCACAACCCCTCGTTTGTTGTCCTCTTCTCCCTCTCTGCCTACGGTTTACCGGGCAGTTCTATTTGACGATATAATACATGACTATATGGGGTGTGAACCGACAGTCTGTAGAGTTTTCCATCTGGTGTGGGTGAGTGATAGCCTGCTTTGACTTTTGCCATAGGTACCTTGAGGGCAGTGGTTGGTGCCCACCTCCTCAGAGGGGTATCAGTTGTCGGGCAGTCGTTGATGCTTAACCACATCCGGGGTTAAGGTGGATTATCACGTACAGTGTAATCAGTTAGGGGATTCTGCAGATTGTTGAGGGTTCAGCCTCCTCATGAGTCGGTGAAACTCCGACGAAACAGTTTGCCACAGCCCCTCGTTTGTTCTCCTCTTCTCCCTCTCTGCCTACGGTTTACTGGGCAGCTCTGTGGGAATCGTCATCCGGGATGGGTTATTTTTGGTACTTCTTTTGATTTCTTTGCAGACAAGAATGTTTTGACATCCTGGTTGGTCTTGTCCCGTCGTTTGGCATGTGGGCAAGGGCGGTGCTTGCATGTGGGACTTGTCATCTGGGATCTGTTTTGTTGCCCCCTGTTCTGTTTTATTTGGCTGTTCCCTTCCTCACTTCTTTGCCTCTTTGCCTTTTGGCTGTGTGCAAGTGGGCCGATATGACACACGGGGGTGGGGGCAGCCGCCGCTCAACCTACATCCACGTGGGTGGCCTTGTACGCAAGAGGTTCTGAACAGGGGGAGTTGTAACTTGTAAGGAAGAAGATTAAAAATGAATCAAGTTTTTCTTGTTTCTGTTTTTTGCTTTGGCGCTCTGATATCATGTGACGATATAGCCCCTCGTTTGTTGTCCTCTTCTCTCTCTCTGCCTACGGTTTACCGGGCAGTTCTATTTGTGACGATATATATTTTATTTATTTATTTATTTAATTTTAATTTTTTTCGGCCTGGGCAAGTGACCCCGGGCCACTCTGGTAGCCTAGCCATCTATGCAATTATATCTTCTTCTTCTTCTTCTTCTTTTTTCTTTTTTTTTTCTTTTTTTAAAATGTTAATGCAATTATATCTAAATACAACCTGGAGCGAGATCCCGCTACCGACGTATGTGGAGTGTATGTGGATTAGTGTTTAAGGTGTGACTGTCAGGCATCGTGGATTTGGCAGGAAATCAGCGGTAGCCTGTTTTTGTGAATTAAGCCCAGCAAAAGGATGTTTTTTTTTGCCCTCCCATTGGTAGGTTTTTCTTTCTTTTTTGCTGTGGGGGTCCTGTGGCGGTCCCAAACGTGCATGAAATCGAGACCAATTTTTTGGGGTAATGAAATCACGCACGTTTCATTCACGGCGAAGGCAAAGACGAAATGCCTTCATCGCTGGAAATTGATTGTGTTTTGGGAGGTGTTTGGGAGGGTTCGATCCCCTCACCTACAGCAAATGGTGTATGGAGATGCTCTCCTTTACCAAAGAGAATTTCTGTCAGAACATCCGAACAGCCTGCACTGCGGCCTATTTCAAGGAAGCCTTAGACTATTGTCAATGAATCTGTTCCGCATGCCCACTCACATGCAGTCGTCTTGACTGCCACAGCCATGGTCAGTGAATCTTACCCTGACATCTGACACCCGCCTGGAGCAGACACCATCTGTGAGAAGAGCACTTTCTTTTCTTTTTTAGCAGTTTTTTCTTAATTTGTTTGGTCATGAAATGTATTTTTTGCGTTTATTTTCCCTATTTCACGCTGCCACCCACCTGTCCCCCACCCGTCCCACACCGTCACACTAATCCACATACATGGCTAGTGGGATCTCGCTCCTGGAGTTCTATGTAGCACACACCTCCCCATGGAAAATCTTGGCGGAGGTGTTTCATACAAGCATGTTGGGGAATAGCCGGGCGTGCCAAAGGGGGGACAATTTTTTTCAGGAAGCGTTGTTCATGCACTGTTTCTAGACTAGTACGCATTACCTGGTGCGAAAACAATGAATCCATGTTGTACCAAAAACCAGTTGTCCCCCAAAATGGCATCAACAAAACAGACTTGAAATTAGGGCATAGTCACACTTAGGACATACTCAGGCTAGCACTTGCCTGAACGTATCTGACTGCAGTTACGGCAGGACCTGAATGCAATGGACTGCAGCAACGTCCAGAGTTGAGTACAAAAAAAAACTCCTGATGTGAGTATGCCCTCAACAGCCTCTAAAGTGCGTCAAAAAAAACGTCCTGATGCGAGTATGCCGTCAATTGGCTCTAACGTGCGCCATACCAACCACTGGATCCCGGCTCAAGGCATACTCGCACTAGCACTTAACTGAATGGATCTGACGCAGTTACGGCTGCATCTGTCTGCAATAACGTCCAGAGCGGAGCTGAAAGAGTTCTGATGTGAGTATGCTGTCAATAGCCTATAAAGTGGGCCACACGAACCAAGTGGATCTCTTCTCATATCAACGAAGAGGGTGTATGCTACTATGCATACCAGACTCGTCGTGCTGCAGCGAGAAACGCTACCATGTCCCCTTGAACACAACATGCCCTCGTCATGGTTGCACAGGGCCGGAAAGATAGCTTGTAATGCATTCATTATCAGGGTGGGTTGCCTTCAGGGGAAGATGGTGTGCCATGTTCCCTTGAACACAACACGTCCTCAGTATGGCTGTACTTAACTGGAAAGATAGCTTGTATGCCTTTATTGTCAGGGGTGTTGAAGAAAAAATGGGTCCGGGCGGAGTGCTACCAGTAGCACTGTGCGCTCAAAGTTCTTCATGACATGGGCTTTCACGACGAGGGCGGGGGAAGGGTGGCGGGCTGGGAGGATGGGGAATTGAAGGGAGCTGCCCTTGCTGGACTAAGAGGTGAGTCCTGCGCAATACTTTTGAATTCGATGGGACCTGCGGGTCGGTTGCGGATGGTGTAGAATGGGTGCTCTGATATGAGCAGCCACCGATTCGACAAACCGCGCCACGTTTCATCCTTGCACAGGGGCCATGCTAATCTTCTCTGTATCGTTCCAATTTTAACAGATGTCCCGAAGGACTTGCGAGAGCTTTTTCTTGATTCTATGTGTGGGCAGTGGTGCATGGCTGTTCTTAGTGGGTGTAATGATTTGTTTTACGTGAAAAAAGGGGCCAATCTCTGAGCAAAGCATTGCTTTCTCAGATTAACAAATATCTTGGTTATTGCTGCAGAATGCAACATAATATCGGCATAGTGAAGGGGCAGTTCAAAAGAAGAAGAATAAAATCATGAAAGTGAATGGTTTCAGCGTGCTCTTCTTGTTTTGTCCTGTGTAATTGTTATCGTCCGTTTCACAAAGTGCGCTCTTTTAGTTCATACTTCATACTAAGTTCATAGATTTGTGAGAATATATATTATATTTTGCCCCTTTCTTTTTATTTCCTGTTTGCTGGAAGAGGCTTGGTAAGCTGGTGGTACATGTTTCTGTTGCTGGGCAGGTATGTATCCAATTGGCGTAAACCCGGCGATGACTTGATGATGGATAACCAAGAGGCAGAAAAAGTTGGCGGTACGAGGTTCGTAACAGAGATGTCATGCTGCACCCTAATACAAATGTGAGGTGGAATCCAAATGATTGAATTGGATGAAATGATATCAAAACAATTACCTGGGGGCGGTCGGTTCAACGACAACATCTCTCGGGGGTCGTTGCCCTTTTGAAGGAGAAAAAAGGAAGTGACAGAGATGTCGACCAGTGGCCTATCTGAGTGCCGACAAGTCAAAACCACCTGTTCACGACAACCGCACCATAAAAACCAAAGCTATAACCCAGAACCAGAACCAGAACCAGACCCCCAGAACCACAAACCGAAACCAGAACCATAACCAGAAGTGGACCAGAACCACTATATGCACCTGTTCACGACAACCACACCATAACCAAAACTATAACAGAGAACCAGAACCAGAACCAGAACCCGAACCCCACAACCATAAACCGAAAGCAGAACCGGAACCATAATGAAACAGTATTCACCAGTTGCAGTAGCGAATGCAGATCCCAGGGCTCGATCCCTAGTTCCCCGTCTTACCCGTGTACAGTATCAGTGTTAACCTGTAGACTTGAACCCGCGACCTGTAGGAACGCCAGTGGTAGGTAGATTGTCGTAGGTCCCAGGGTAGAAGGGAATCTAACTGTAGACCTGTAGAGTAGGAGTCTAGATGGTTCCGAAGTCGTAGTTGTAGGATGCCTGAAGGGTCAAGGTCGTAGCTGCTACTTACCTGAAAGGGCGAAGTCGTAGCTGCTACAGTACCGAAAGGCCAAGTTAGAGACTTCTAGAAGTGGCCTTTCGGAGTTAGCCTGCGTTCAACAGAGGCAAGTGGTCAAGTGGTGGTAGGCCACCTCGCTGAGTCAACAGTCCCAGTTAGTCAGTCCGGTCCTGTCCAGCAAGTACCGTCTGGGACTGTGCGCACCAAGGGCCAAGGGACACAGAGCAGACCAACGCAGCGCAGAAGTATAAATCAAGAGGCTGCGTCCAGCCATTCATTCATTCCTGCGGATGCCATGCGGAAGCGCTGCCTCAGCAGCTTGTGCGAGGAGGTCTGCAGTGCGCCCGAAGACGAAGTGGGCAGAGAGGTGTAGTGTAGCGATAGGGTAGTGGCAGCTAGCGCTGCCATAGCTGTAGCATAGTGTGTGTGTGTGTTGCGTATGGAGACTGAGTGTAGCGTGTGGGACATCCAGGGTGATCCAGAGTGCGAACAGTGAGTTGTGTGGGCGCGCAGTCGCCATAGCCAGTTGGAAGAGAACTCTTATCTGGGCACGATATCTTGTGTGGGCGCATGTCGCTAGTGTGCTGTACCGCTGTTTGCATGCATGACGAAGTGTGAATAAGCCGAGACTGATTGCACTGGTATCAGAGCAGGTATCCGCTGTTCCATGCGCGCGATGGTTGCAGGGCAGATGTGCCATAGCTGAAGTGACCGCCGGAGGAGGCAGTCCGCCATAGCGGACCTCGAGGTGGAAGAAGACGCCGCGCACCTGCAACAAGAAGACCACGAGAGAGAGAGAGAGATGAGTGATACAAGATTGGTTACTTANATTGGTTACTTACCTGCTGCGCTGAAGATACTGCTACGGCGAGAGAGAGAGAGAGAGAGAGAGAGAGAGAGAGAGAGAGAGAGAGAGAGAGAGAGATGAGCGATCCAAGATTGGTTGCCACTTACCTGTGAGCCGAGCTGTGGAGTCCGGTGGAGGAGGAAGACGGCGGTCATGGCCGCGGAGCATTGACACAAAGTGCTGGAGGAGAGAGAAAGGGAGGACAAAGAAGGAGGGAGTAAGGAGAGAGAAGAAGAAGTGTGGAAGGAGGAGGTTGGAGAAGAAGACAGACATAGCCGGGGGCGAGCACAAAAAAAATAAAATATATATATATATATATATATGACGATATATATATATAGAGAGAGAGAGAGCGAAAGTGAAGAGAAAGAAAGTGAAGGACGGGGAAGTAGACGACGAGGGTGACGAAGGTGGAGGTGCCGGCAGCCATAGCCGAGGTGAGGAGTTGACCACGCGTTGACTGGAGGGCTGGCCGCGTGGACCAAGGCGTTGAATGGAGCTGCTGACCAAGACTTTGACCAAGCTGGAGTTGGTGATATCTCGTTGACCCTTCAGCCTATCCCCTTACCCTGTGGATGTGCACTTACCCCACGGTACTTGCTGGGTCTGTCTGTCTAGTCTTTCTGCATTGAGTCTCTTCTGTCTTAAGTGTTAGGACTCTGTGGATGAAGGATAGGGCCTTGCTGCCAAACCTGCACGGGACTTAGTAGGACTAATCTCTACTCTGGCATCTGGAGACCTGGGCATGAGCGACGAGCGCTCGTTAAACAACTCGTCTAACCCAATGACTGCTACCGTCCGGCAGGTCTACTGAGCTCAGTGTAGAGGGTCCGAACTCCGAGCTGTGGGCTGAAACGAAGGCTGTCTTTAAGTGTTGAGGCCTGGTTGAACCACTCCCCTACCGGACCCAGAAGGCTGATGATCCGTGTCTGACGACTCGACTGTCTCAAGGGATACGAACCCCTCCAAGGACCGGTACAGACCGGCGGGCTGCTCGGTGTGGCACAAGAGGTTGGACAGGCTGAGTTGTGGGCTGAAATCGCCAGAGGAACCAAGCTGATCACGTTGTCCTGTCTGCGACGTTAAAAAATTCTTGCGGAGTTTGGGGGATCTCCTTAAATGCCTCCTGATCAGCTTTGGGTTCAGTAGTGACAGCCTTAGAGTAGTTGTGAGTAGTGGATCTTAGAGGGTCAGTGAGTAGGTCAGTGAGTCCGGGTAGTGCTAAGTGGTAAGGAGTGAGACTCTTGTCGTGCACCAGACACCACGATGGACGACTATCCAATGTATGGGTTGCTTGTTGGGTTCTCCCTCTGGGGGACCCTCTGGCGTCTCCTCTTCCCTCTGGGCTTCTGGCCCACTTTCACGTGTAGAGTAGGGCCCACTCGTGGTGGTACTTCCACCAACCCTTACACGAAGGAGGAGGAGGAGAAGATGGCCGCCATTCTGCAGGAGAGGAAGGAGAAGAAAGAGGCCAAGAGGAAAGCCTTGAAGGAGGAGCAGGCAGCCAAATTGAAGAAGATAGAAGAAGAGATGGCTAGAGAGAAGGAGAGGATACAGAAAGAGGAAGCAAAGTTGAAGGAGGTGGAAGAAGAAGAGGAAGAAGATGAAACACCATTGTAGAGGAAGAAGGGGCAGTATAGTGGCAGTAGGGATGAAGAGATGGAGAAGCGGATCTCAGAGTGGGTCGCCAACTTATCCCTGGGCGAAGAAGAAGAGGTGGCGATGTATATCTCTAAAGATGATCAGGAAGCCGCTATGAGAGCTTGGGAAGCAGAAAAAGATGTTGTAAAGCGGCAGGCAATGGAAAATGAAAGGAGGATGGAATGAAAGTTGGCCGTGATGAGGGAGAAGAAGAGGAGAGTGGACGCGGCAGCGGAGGCGGCAGAAGAATTAGAGGAGGTAAAAAAATAAAGAAGAGTAACTAGCCGCCCAGACCGAACTCCCAGCTCAAATGCGAGTCATAGCCCGCAATGTTGCACGTCTGGCACGAATTCAGGCAAAGCAATATGACTTTAGTAGGAGTCAGCATATAGCTGCGCGTTCCATAAAGTTGGGGTTCCGGGACTTTGCTCGAGAGTTGGTAGGCGCTATAGGCACGGAGGTGGGCCACCGCCTCGACAAGACTGAGCGGTTCTGTGCCGGCGCCATTGAAGGCGTCAAAGCGGCAGCTCCCAAGGAGGAGGAAGCATGTCCTCCTCGCCGAGAACCGGTCGAAGTCAAATTCCCTGATTCCTACAGTGGAAAACGAGAAGAGAACTTTGACAACTGGGAGGCCAATGTCAAGACCTATGTGCATCTGCAACAGGTCTGCCCGGATCAGCAGGTTTTAATCGCGATCCACACGCTTAGGGATGAGGCCGCCAGCTTTGCAAGGTCCCTAGTTCGCGCTGCCAATTGTAGTGACTATCCAGTTGCGTACTCCTCGTTCACTTCCCTCACCGAGTTCTTGAAATTGCTGCGCGAGAGGTTCGCTGATGTCGCCCTTAGCGTTAAAGCCTCAAATAGGCTGCAGACGATCCACGCTCGCAAGTGGAAGAGCGCCAGGGCACTTAAGAGTACAATGGACGAATTGATAGCTGTCCCCTACCATGGGGTTACAGACACCCAGTTGGTCGGCCTCTTTTATTGGGCCATACCCGAAGCCCTTCGAGGGCATTTCTTCGCAAAGAGCGAAGCCCCTGCCACTACGTACGATTCTCTTAGTCGTGAGGTGGTGGCCTTTGAGGCCAAGTCTATGTCAGTTTCCACCTTCTGGCACAAGGACTTGGATAAGGGTAAGCAATGGAAGGGCCGCACTATCTCAGGGCAAGCGAAGACTAAGGATAGTCTTGTCCTGACCCTAGATGAGGGTAATGTGGACGAGATCCCCTACGACCAGATTGAGTGGGGGTTAGAGGAGGAGGACAGCGGTGTGGGCCAAGGGAGGACCTACGCTGCTGTTGCGGCTAGAGGGAGGCCGCAAGGAGGATGAGGCCAGGGCTTAAGGGGGCCGGGCCTCAGGGAGCTGGTTTCAGGGCGATCAGAGGGTTGGCGGCAGAGGAGGAAACCGCCAAGCGGGAGGCAGGGGTCAAGGTCCCCCGCAAAACCGTCCTAGAAACAGGTCTCCCTATAGGGTAGGAGGATGGCACCCTGGGCTACCGCAATGTAGGCCTTGGGAAAGTTTGGGTCTGGACCAGGCTTTATGGCAACAACGATTGGACCGGGGCCAATGCATTTTCTGCGGTGACCCGGGCCATATCATCAAATACTGTCCTAAGTATCGAGAGACCCGAGCGGCTGTCCAAGGGCCAAAAGGCAGCCGCCGGTAGGGGTAGCAACTGCCCCTACCACTAGGCCATGTGGGGAACATAGCGCTAGCCGGCAAGAGACTCCCACACCACATGTGCCTATGGCAGAGGTTGCAGGCCGGTGTCTAGATAGCTGTCCCGAAACTGCTTGTGTTAGAGTTTCGCTAGACAA